ACACCTCCAACGCCGACCTCGAGGACTCGCTGCTGCAGGGCAGCTTCCGGAAACGACAAATGAGTATACATTCCGTGAGTATTCCCGTGCTTCATTCGCATATTATAAAAACTTTATTTTATAATGTTTATTTTTGTGAAATTTTCAATTGCAAATGTCAAAATTTAAATGCACAAATGACAATGAAGAGCTTTAACATAGAACGACAATCACCGTTACTATTGTAACGTTGCTGCCTTGTTGTTGTCAGTTTGTAGTTTTTGTTGCGATAGGAAAAAAAAATGAAAAAAAACCGTCTCACAGGATAACTTTATGACGGTTTTTTCCAAATGTTTTATTCCTTAAGTTTGACAGCGAGAAAATGTACAGGGTATTCTGTATAGGGTTTCTTTTTAACAAAAAAAGAAGGATTATTCAAAAATACACTGTGGCTGACATTCTACGTTACTAAGTAGTGTGTTTCCGCTTATTATATTAGTATATATGATGTGATGACATAATGTCGGTCGTTTTTGGATTAGCTAAAGTGGAGTATTGTAAATTCTTATAATTTAAATGACGAGTAAGTACATGTCGGTAGAGTTTATAGTATATGTGAAGTGTGTCGTACGGCAGGTGAGCTCGGTGGACAACGTGAGCGCGGCGGGCATGCCGGAGGGCGCGGGCGGCGGGCGCGAGGCGGCGGAGGCGCGCTCCGCGGGCGCGGTGGCGGGCGCGGTGTACGCCGCCTACCTGCGCGCCGCCGGACACCCGCTGCTGGTGGCGCTCACGCTGGCCGTCACCGCGCTCGCGCAGCTGCTCGGCTCCGGCTCCGACTGGTGGACTAGCTACTGGTCGGTACACTTAGTACGCGATTCACACTTACCCGGTATAGTTGGACATAACGGGACTGACTTTCGAAGTGAACTAGCACCAGTGAATCCGTCTAGCCTGCTCGACTTTCCAACTGTACTGGTTATGTGTAAACGTGTATATACGCCCGCAAATAACCTGGTTCATGCCAGTACAGTTATAGAAAATTATTGTTGTGAAATTTGAATTGAAAATCGTATTGGTTTTTTGTCACAAACTAATATGTCTATTAAAACACTGTTTCTCACTTACCTATATATCGTAATATGGATTTATTTTACAATACCAATTGTCTTTATCTTATGATTTGCACAAAACATTTGAAGAATTAAATATCGTATTGGTCGCCATATTTACCGTTACCTACATATTCACGGCGTTGAATTTACACTATATAAACAGTTTGACGTGTATCCAGGGTGACTCTAGAGGAGGGTCTGCCGCCGGCGCTGCTGAACACGCTGTCGGAGAACGCGACCGGCCCCACGCTGCAGCTCATCGACAACGAGACCAGCCCTCTGGTGGACAACGCACAGTTCCCCAACTCCATACTTGATAGATACGATTGCATCTACATATATTCCGGTTAGTGCCCAATATTTACTACTTTTACCCTTAAATGCATAATGATGTATTTATACATCAGTCTTCTTCATTATTTAAAAAATAAATCTTTATTTTCCCCTTGATCTATGTTCAATTTACTACCCGATCTAATTTAGGGTATTTAAAAAGAAAAAAATCATGCATTTAAGGGTTAAGTATGTCTATTGTGATAAACAGTATATGGTTTATGTAGGACCAAATTGCTTTAGTCACCATTAACACTCAGTAAATCGTAGTAAACGCGTTAAAACCATTCACAGACCGGAGCGTTCAGTAGAGCAATATTTAATTTTATTTTGCATGCCTTTCATTTCGTATTCAATTATCAATTAAAATTCAACTTTGTTACAAATATATAAAGCTCAATTTTATTTGCGATAAAAGTCTGCTCTGCCCCTCTTCACAAAGTGACTTTTGATTAGCGATGTCGCTTGTAGAATCGACAAAATGTGTCAAAATGTATAGGAATGAATATGTGACTTATCAAATGTTATTATTATTCTATACATTTTTGACTTTTCGATCGGCGATAGCGATAATCGAATATTACTTTGTCTAAGGGGGCTGTTCTACCCGGTCTGTGAACGGAGCCTGAATCGATTAATTACTTACCTTTGCCTTAATA